GGGCAACCAAGGACTCGTGAAGCCTGGTGAACTTCAGGGCAATTTCTATGACCTCCTTATCGTAGAGCCAGGGGGGGATGGAGAACTGCATAGACGGCATGAAGGCAGACAACTCGAGCCAACGGATGTAGAGCTCTCGGTCTGGAATGTCAACAGCTCCCTCAGTTTTATTTGGAATAAAATTTCCACCAATCATATCTGGTAATATGAAATGGTATCCCAGAAGGCCAATGTTTAATACTGTGGGAATGATGGACTTTAGTCCCAGCTCATATCCCCAAACTGAGTCCCGGTCAATAATACGAACAAAAGACGAGATGTGTTGGGACTGGTAACCAACTCGAACTTCTGCAAGCTCGTGAAAAGGGCTGGCCATTTCTGCATAATACCTGGACCAGATGCTGGGATCCAGAAGGGGCTGGAAGGTGGTGAACTCTTTGGGAAGATAGCAGGTCTCACCGGCGTCAAACTTGAAGGAGGATATGCCATATTTTAAGCAGAGCTCCTCCAAGTGTGCGTGAAACCAATCTCTGACCAAAGGGTTGGTGAAATCGAATATGGCTCCAACACCATTCCACCACTTGACCATGGCAGGTAATCTCTCTTTTCGTTGTGTGACCAAAAAATGTTTCTCTATTCCTACCTTGAAGTTTGGCGATTTTTTATGTACAAATGGGTGTATCCAGACAGTAACATTAAATCCGTCTTTCTTAAGCTTTTCAAACATTTCTGTTGCGCGAGGGAACTTCAAAGGGTCAAAGTCAAAGTCACCATAATTCTGCATATACATGTCATCTATTTCAATGTGGCTGGCTTTAAAGCCATACTTCCGAATCATGTGGGCAAATTCCTGAACTTTAGTTTGATTAATCTCCTTTTTGTAAAGTGCCCATGTTGACCAGATGGGAAATCTGAACATTTCTTCGGAAGGTACTTTCAAAGGTTTCTTGAAATAATTCTGGGCCATGTACTTATGGGCAGAAGTCACATCCGGAGCTACGCAGACATGATAATATAACCCTGGAAAAGACTGCTCCTCCAACAAAGGACCATATGGGGAATCTTTATACCTGGCTTGAAAAACAAGAGATGGTTCAGTGGCATTGAACCCAAGGTGGAAGGGTACAGAGTCATTGATCTTGATAGCCACTGCTTTGGAGGACAACCAGTACCTCTCCAAGACCCCCCCAAAGCTGTTCCTAAAAGAATACACATCGCTGGTCACGAAGGGCATAGGTTCCTGGCATCCTGGCAGCTTGATTGGCCAGTGCTGGACGCTCATCTCATAACCCCCATACCAGTGAGCATCCCCCCAGAATATTTTGTGCTCCACCACTGTGTCTACTATCAACTCTTCCCAGCTGATGGAGTAGCAGATCACTGCCCTCTTTGGCTTAATTGCCCTGATAATTAAACGAATCTTTCTTTTATCTGCCCTGGTACAAGTTAACATTTCCTTTTCCTGGAAGCAGGACTCCAGGTCAAGGACACCAGACTGAAAGGTCAACACAAAGATGATGTCTCCACCCTGGTTTTTGATGGTAAACCCATCCTTTCGTAACTCCAACTTCTCAATCTTCATCCTGTCTGTCTTCTGGAAACGAATGACATAGCAACACCCAATCGCTACCGCTATTAGAAATAATCCCATTATTAGTAATGCACATGCCACAAGACGAAACGGTTGGGATGCTGGAGGCGTCCGGTTGGGTTCCTGCTCCTTTTCCATCCACTCTCCTTTCCCTCGACGTTGGAAGGTCTGTGTTCCCATTTCATTCGAACCAGTGGCTCAGGGGGTGAGGCTTTTGAATAGCCTTAGGCCAAGCTGCCTGGCTCAGTCTTCTGCAGCAAGAGTACAAACAACCCCACCAGAATACAGATGTTGTTTACCTCGTGCAACCTAACTTACGATTCTCTTTCTTGGAAATCGGATTGCTTTGCGGCTCTCCCCTCCCCTCCTCTCCAGCCAAAGCCAGCGTCTGCTGCTCCTCCCAACTCAGCTGATCAAGCATGATTATGCAACCACATTTCCCAGGCCGACAGCTGCCAGGACAGCCTGGGCCACTGCTGGCGGAGGGAGGAAGGGCAACGAAGCAGCTCCAGAGGCGGAGGCCCTGGCAGCGGGCGATGGAATGCACAAATAGCTACAGATATGAATTGCACGGAAAGCCGTAGGGAGCAGAATCCTATGGTGAGATGGGGAGGCCTCTGCTGGTGGAATCTCTCTATGGCAGTGTTTCTCAACCTTGGCGACTTGAAGACGTGTGGACTTCAACTCCCAGAATTCCCCA